CCCTACACACAAAAAATGATTGACATGCATCATCATCTTGATTTCTGCCATGCATAGTCACTTCTGCAGATGGTAATGCTTACTGAATGCTTTACCCTTTAATTGGTTTGTTCTGCTCCAGGAGATACCTGCACGTGAACTTAGACTCATAAGCTTTTACTCATTTCAACACTGAAAGCAAGAATTAGAGCTTTAAGATAAAATGAGGAAACTGGTTTTGGTCACCTATCAGCTGTGTTCACCTGAAGTAAATCAGCTGGGAGCAGACAGGCAGACGTGGCTCCGTGCACTTGTAACATGTCTTCCTAGTTAAAACTGTTCAAGGCCTTGCCTTAAATAGCTGCCTTTAAATTGCTGCAAATAAAGCGATCTATTGACAAGATTACAGACTTGTAACAGAGAAACAGCTTTATGTGTTCATTAGTTGAAAAGTTTCAATTTTAAGGTAAATTTAAAAGTGGATTTTAATCCTATGAAATGCTTCTCATCTGTGTTTGGGCTGGTGTAAAAGATGTCGCAGAACAGAGACAACTGTGTCCTGGAGGGTGAGTGAAGGTGAAAGCATCTGAGGACGAGCGACCCAACATGTGATATTAACTCCTGCATAGCCCCTAAATAGCTTGAAATAGCTATTTGTTGCATTTATTTCCAAGCCAGTGGGACAAAAAAAATTATTTCATGCAGCTATTTTTCTCCTTCTTATCCAGCTATACTACCCCTGGCTCTTGCAAAATGCACTGGTGACTGCTATAGGAACTCCAGTCACTTAAGACACTGTTCTTTCTCATGGGTGTATTTAATAGCCTGAAAATCTACAGTATTTTTCAGTTGTGCAACCCTTCAAAACAATTTGCAAAACTCTTCTAGTATAATATGCCCCCTGAGATACCTATGCAAAATATATATGTCACTGGCAGGGAACAAAACAGATTTGAAAGTAAATTTAGGTCTTGCACTTAAAACATAATTAACATATCACGAAAATTACTTTTCAGCTGAAGAGTAGCAAGTGATCGCACGCATGCCACAGCAAAGGTAAAGTCAAACGCATTAGCCAGAAAATCACTGAAAGACGTTTATGTATTTTATCTCCTATTCACATAACCGGAGCTAAGAGCACACGCACACAGCTACCGCCGCTCAGCTAATGGACAGTACGTCAGTGATGTGCCCAGTGCTGAGAAGACACCTACATTTGTGATGAAGATAAATAATTTTGATGGCTGAAACCGATTTCTGAGACCGTGAAAGAGTGGAACCTTCCCTGTTTCCCACAGCTGGTTATCAGCTGCAGAAGTCACAGTGCCAGCTTTGAGCATCCCAGCCGGGAGCTTCTTTTAGCGAGTCACCTGTGAAAACTCAAGCAAAACACCCCTCAGCAGGGTCATGCTTCATGAGAAATGAAGACCTTCGGCATAAGACCCTGAAGGTACTCTTTATTTCCTTTATTGCTGGGCTTTTTCATACCACAATTTCTGGACCGCAAATATTAAGCCATCACCTACCTTAAAAGAACATGAAGCCATGCCCTGTTCTCCCCAAGGACATCCAGAACATTTTAAGCACCAAAGCTATGCTTACTAAAGCTGTATGTGGAGGTTATACATCAAGGCTACTTTGTGAATCAGGCAACAGCAAAATGGGTCCACTTATCCACTTATGACTGACATTATGAGGCCAACACAGTACAGGGAGGTTTTATTACCTATACCAGCACCAAAAATGTTTCCCGAGAAAATGGTTAGGTTTCTGAATCTTTAGCATCCACATGAATTGTCTTGCCTTTATTTATGTTATTTTTGAAAATTCATTAATTCGCAGTAACATTCAAAAACAGACTGAAGAGAAGCAAAGACAGTTGCAAAGTACTACCTTGTTCACAATTTTAAGAATTTAATTTAAGGTTTAACATATCTCATTCCCTAATTCGGACTTATTTGGAATCCGTATGACAATGAAAGAAAGGACAGGGAGAAGACAGGGTCATCACACAGTCAGAGGTGTGACAGATGAAATAAAAGATCTAGCTGTGAATGAGTTGTTCTCTCTCACAAGGGAAACGTCCGCTTGTGATCTCTAATGATGATAGACAAGGAAAGGAGGATCAGCCATACTTCATTCACTTTGTTTCCACGGTGCAAGAACAGACATGGTTTCTGTGGGGCAGCTGATACACAGCAGTACACTTCCTTGCATCGAAACCTCAGACAGGAATGGGATGGCTGAACAAACCAATTAACAGTTGCGTACTTGACCGAAATCCTTGATGGGAGGTCTTGAAATTGGCTTAGTGAATGAGGAAGATAATCTACCTACTTCATCTTCTCATCTGCAGACAACAGTTAGCACCAGCCGGTTCAGAAGAAAGCACGGGTGGACAGAATTGTCACTTCTCAAAGGTTAGTTCAGTCAGAAATAGTGATTAACTATGGACAGAGCGCAAATCATCCAATAAGGTAACGATGTTCTATATAGTCCCTCTGGGGAGAAAACAACCTATTACAGTCCTTAATTTTGACTCAGCCTTTACCAAAGTTCATGACGCATCACCATAAGGTGTAATTCAATACAGTGGAAAGAAGCAGCACAGCAAATGTTCAAGACCATTTCCGTTATATCGTCAATTTAGCAATATCAAAACAAGACCATTTTCCTACCTGCTTGTATTCAGATTCTCTTCCAACCAGTACCTGCAGAACGTAACCAACAGGATCTCCCTTCATGGGTGGGACCATCTCCCAGGTAATTTCACAGGCGTTTCCTCCCAGCTGTGTCACTCGAGGGGCTACAATAAAATTAAATAACGTTAACATTTAATATAAAGACTGCCTTGAAATCTTATTAATTTTACACGCATTGTGATATATACAAGAACATTTTAAAAAGAGAACTTTGGGACATCACAGGGGTTAGTAGCACATAATCTGTACTGTATTTATGTGGCCAAAAATCAAATTGCTCTCAGCACTGGATGAAAGAAGTAAAACTGGAGCTGGATTTTTAAGTCACTCAAAAGTCACATTTATTTCAGGACAGCCTTGCCTGAGTAAGCAGTTCAGAATTCTTAGGGTATTAAACAATGACAAACACTGCTCACAGAAAATTGGGTGAAATTTAGAGCTGATTAACAAGCTCCTAAGAAGTTTACTGTAGGACCCAGATGACTCCTGCAGAAGGACAGTGAGCTGTTAGAGCATCTCTCATCTGGTAGCTGTGGGAGCCGCTAGAAAGGGGGATTGGATGTGACAGAAAACTTTGAACTTTTAAAATTCAATTGCAATGCTGTGCACTGATCTTTTCAAAGCCTAAGCCAACGCATGCATTACACGGGCATTAATAAAAGCAGTAATTTCGTGAAGTTCTGTGCCAGTGGAGACGTCTGCACATTCCTCCCACGCTGCATGCCATGGAAAGAGAAGAACAATATCAAACATTTCATTCAGGAAAAACAGGAGAAGGAATGTGAGAAGGGAAGCTAAATAATCTTCTATATTAGAGATTAAGTCCAGCCTGGGAAGCAAAAGTACAAGCAAAAGTAAAGACTTGGACTCATATCTAATTCTGAGCCTGACATTCAGACGTTCAGACCTGCTGTTTCTAGCCAGGCTTAGACTAGTGCTTTCACCAGAACTCTCAGAAATTCAATTTGTCAGCTGTTACAATGCTGCCGTCCTTGGGAAAGGATCTCTCTCACCCGCTGAAAACTGAAAGACACGGTACGATGCCTGGCGGCAAGCCTGCAGGTGAGCCGAGCAGAGTACTAACAGCGGCAGCGCGTTTACATGTACAACTGTGCATCTGCCACTGGAAGGCATCAAAACAACTGCAACAGCATCCAGCGTCCACCAACCTTTTTATCAGGCAGAGCAAGCCAGCACATGACCAAAAAAATGCAACTGGGAGAAAGAAAGCGCTAAACGCTTTACCGAGCGGTTAACATGTGCACGTGCAAGGACATGAGCTTGTTAAAGGCAATATAGATTCCCAACCCTACAAAAACAGACAACAGGAGAGTCTATCAAAGAAACAAATGCTGCTGCTGCTGCATACATTACATGAATTTTAGACTCATTTGTTACCACCCAAGAGGAACACATGAATCATACACGGACCCAAATGTAATCAATATCCATTTGCTTCGCTCTGCACATCTGCCAGTGTTGAGAGACTGGTAATAGATGCCTTCATCTCAGCTGACGCCACCACTCTCAATTAGTTTCCCTCCTCCTTCCACCCTTCACCCTGATACATGTAGATTTTTGTCTGACACTCACAAAACACTGCCATTAACAATAATGCTATTTTAGGGTTGATATCACTAAGTAAGTAATTAGGATACTTTATAGAATAAACATGTGCTTCTGATACATGAAACACCATCTGAAGTTTATCACCTACATTCCTTTGTATGGCTCTGAACACAGAAGGGAATCAACACCATCATTTTGCCTCAACAGATCTCTCTTCCCTATGGCATTACCTCCCCACGGTGAGTGTTCACCAACTCAGCTTTTGTTGTGCCCTTTTCTCTGTCAGAGTCAGTATTTTGTCATGTACCTGTGGTCCCAGCCCACACACGACCCGGTATTTGCACCATATCTTAACTGCTTGATAATCAGCCCAGGGTATGAGTCATACTGAACAGGAACTAAAGAGGCAGGCAGGGAGTTCAAAACAAAAACCTAGGTGAGATCTGAATTTAATAAAATGGATTGCTATCCAACAAAACAAAGATGTGCCTACAGTGCATGCCGGCATCCCTGTGCTAGCTTTATCCACTTCGTGCCGCTAAGGGAAGCAACAGCAGCATGGACTCAGCACCCACGAGCGACACGCGCCTGTGCCCAAGCACCCCGACAACTTGCAGGTGATGCTAAAGCTGTGAAGCACACCCTCCCCGCCACCCTCACCTACGCCAGCCTGGCTCACCCAGCAGGTAGCATACCTTACAACTGCCTGGAGCGAATCAGGATAGCTCACCACTAGATAAGTATATTTACCCTTGAACTTTACACCAACCACATACAGCTATCTTCTTCCAGAAACAGCACTGAGGCAAATGCCAAAACCCAGGGGATATCCAGGTAGAAACGAAGGCGGGAATCTCGCATACGTCGATTTTAGCGTAGCGAAGCCAATCTCCTAATGTCCTTTCTGCACTCGAGTGTTGTTCTTCCTGGGGGTGATTGAGAGCAGCTAACCTAGGCACCAGGGAAGTTACACCCCAGCAGTGTTTTCCTCTTTCTCAATCTCTGATAACTAACGGTGTAAAAATCACCAAAGCCAGGTTTTAAATACAGCTGAGCAAATGAAACCTCTCCGACAACCTAACAGTTGCTGTTTCTCACAGTAAATGGTACTGCTTGACAAAGGAGTTTTAAGCACACAGGAAAAAAAGGTGCATCTGATTTCAGCTGAGTTTATCTTTGTAATAGTTCTCCTTGGAAGGAAGGAGCAAAATTACTTAGGCCAAAACTTACACACTGTAAAAGACGTTTCATTATAAAACTTGATTTAATTAGGCCTTTTGTTCTTCTAGGGGAACACATGCCAAGTGAGATAAAGAATCTAATGTTTTATGTATGTGAAATATCATTATTAATTTTATAAATTAAAAAAGAAAAATAAACTCTGAAGTGCTACGCTGAACATCACCTACACAACTTAAACAACATGCAACTTTACTAACGCTTAGGCTGGTATGTACACATACACACTAGAACTGTTACAACCCTTACTGAAGTGCGCAGTATCCAGAGCAATCCCTCAGTAAACGTTATTGTTAGCAGCAGCATTTTAACAGTTTATGTATAACAACAGTGGTTGGTATAATATTTATATTGTTTATATGAAGTTTTTGGTGATAATTTAGCTTCCCACCATAATGTAACTTCACAGCTCGCAGAAATATACAAGCAGCACAAACTGATTGTTCACATGTTATTGCATACTTATGTTAACCCTTACAAACTCACTGCGTACTTGCCAATTACTTCAATAATTACATGTCACTTATGCATATGGAAAAAGATCTATTACATACCTTTGATTGCAGGTGGGACTGACTTAGTTGTGCAGAAGGTACATATTTCTGAGAAAGGTCCCTCCCCAGCGTCATTGACCGCCTGTATTCTGAACGAGTAACAAGTGGATTCTGTCAGCCTCTGTATCTTGTACGTATGACTTGGTCCCCTATAAATCGGAATAAACCTGGAAACAACGAAAACGAGAACATGTAATTACACTGGAGCGACACTGACATTTCTGGCTATTACACATATCAGGGCAACGTATCCGTATTGGGAAAACTGGCACCACGTCCTTTGCAGAGCTGCTAAAGGCAAGTACAAAGATGGCACGTTATTAACGCGCTAACAACGATTAGCAGGGCAGGGAACGCAGAAGTTCATGGTCCCTTTTGCAACTACTACCTTGCAAAACGATTATGTGAATTATCAGGAAAAATATCTGTCAATGCATTTCCTACTAGCTAGTAATCGAAACAGATTCAACCCGTGGTCTACTACAATGCACCACGTGTGCTGCTGCTTTAACAGTATGTTTAAAACAAGATTAATACTTTGAATCTTTTATTGCTTGATTTGGACTTTATTCGCGCATTAAGACCCAAAGACCACATCTTGCGCACATCCGTGCCATCTTAAGCCAGAGTAACTCTATTTAAATCAGAACATACGGATTGCATAATATATGTGTAATATATTACATACTTCTCGGTTTTGAAGAATTTACGGACTGAAGACAGCCAAACAGCAGAGGCAGAAACAGATTCAGAGAGAATACATGGTGGCCTATGAGTGAAAAGGCACGGGGGAGGCATGATTATAGCCAGGGGGATATGGGGGATGGAAAAAGGTGCCAGCTTAGGAGCTCAGGGGGACAACCGTACCGACAGCTCTGCTCGAGGAAAAAGACACGGCACTAAGGAAACGACTTCCAAAATACTTCCATTGACAAGACTAAACATCAGCACGCACAAACTTGCCCAACAATGTAATGCAGAAAAAAATCAATGTCACTTAATATAAAAAAAAAAAAGGAAGGAAAAAAAAGCACAAGTTGCTAGAGAGAATCTGACTTCTATTTTCAATTGCTCTGCTCAGCTAAATGCTTTTCAGTAACTGTCATGTATTAGCCAGCAATTTCTAACTGAGATCCTGGCTCCCGGGTGCTGAGCAGAACGGGGGTGAAGGTAAACAAAGAGGGAGCACCCAGCATCTTGCACCAACCCGCTCCGCCTCCGCTGGGGAACAAGGTCTTCTGGCAACAGTCCTGAATCTGGAGAACATAAAATTCACCGCGTAGGATCACATAGTTTTTCTGATGATTTAGTACTCTTCTTCAAGTATCTTAACCATTTCAGCGGATTGGAAATCACCAGGAAGCCAACAAAGAGATTTGTTTTTGACCTCCCCATCTAGGTGCTAGCTTTATCCGGGATAATAACTCCTTTGGCTTTGCATGAGATACGCAGTATAACCAATTTGAGCCTTTCAAAGAAACTGGGTCTGTCATTAGCTCTCAGGGACAGAAATCAATTCATATTACACGATGATTGAAATCCACGGAAGTACAAACAGAGAGATCAAGAATAATCTGTAATAAAAAGAAATGTTCAGGTAATTTAAATTGCTGGAAATGTACTCTGGGGACTAATGTGACTTACTACCCCCACCAAGTTTTAGTGAGCCCCTCACCTTGACTGGAAATCAAAGATCTATGCCCACAAGTTTTTAAGAGGAGATTTTAGAGCAAATTTCCAAAGAAGAAATTTTTTTTTCAGCCTTATGCTTATACAGTTGTAAGGACTGCCTACTATCCCACATTTCTGAGGCTCACGTAAGCAGCTATGGCACATTTCAAAAGACTGCCACAGACCTGTTCTCATGGAATAAAATTTCTTGGGATTCACTGCACGATGAACAAAAAGCACATGTATTTAGGACAGCATTAAGATTGAAGAGACAAGACTACCGTCTCGCTCTCCCTCTCCACTTCTTGTAGCTCAATCAGGCAGCTGGCTCAGAAACCACCGCAGTATTCAGAGAAGCGCTGAGACTCGTCTCTGACCCCGATCCGAGGGCAACAGATAGCAATGCAGTATTTTAGACTAATGACCTCTTTATAATTGTCCGTGGAGCTACGATAAATATACCTTACCAGCTACCACACAAGCACCCATACCCCAGTTTGGGCTTTAGTACACTTGCTAGACATATTTATATGGTCAATACCAATGACTTAGTCCTGAAATTACACTTTCGCCTTTTGAATATGATTAAGGTTTCATATCACTGAAAAAGTGATCTGGCAAAACACTTGCGCTCCTCCTGTCATCTGGGAATTGGACTAATGCTTCCATCCGGTTTCCATCTCCACCCCTACTTCTTCACCTCCACTTCTCTATCTCAAAAAACATCTGTAATGAAAGCAAAAACCATTATGGAAAAGCTTGCATCTATGTTCAATACACAAGACTGTAATGGAAGCACACTTAAATTTCTGAGATTCAACCACCTTTGAAGAAAGAGGGCTTCCAATTTTGGAAGAAGAAAGGCTGATTACTAAGTCAATCAAATTCAATTGCTGTTAGGCTTTACTATGACAATAATGCTTTGTCACTGTCTTTGAAGATGCAGATCGTGATGAAGAAACATAATGAAGATGAAACATTTTAACTTCAAAATACTAGTGATTTTTTTATAATAATGTAGTATTTTCCTCATGTCTAAAGTAGGTACTTTATACTCCTCCAGAATTATTTCTGTTGTTTTAAAAAATAGTGTAGTTATTTGATGTAGACAGCTATAGACTTAGAGACTTATCCTACAGTCTTTCTTCAGTCTCCCAGGTTTTCTGCTGAAGGACCGCAACGAACTTAAAGCTGAACCAATCGGTGTGATCGCACATTGCTACTGGGATGTCTGCATCCATTAAACATGGTCTAAAGGAAGATAATTTGTCCATATTATTGCAAGTTGATTTTTTAAATCTAAAGATACTTTAAAAAGCACATTTAAATGTGAGCTCTATATACCTTCGCCTTCTTGGCAAGCCTGACATTGTTCACTGTGCTTTATCCAGGCCCTGTTCCATACATTTTCTTAAGAACAAGCCAGCTTTGAGTTTGTTTGCAAGGACTTAATCTCTTATGCATTTAAAAGTTGACTTAATCTGTGTATAGAAAAGCTCCCATGTTCTCTATCTCCCCCTCACTTTCTTCCAGCCTCTACTCAGTTCTCCATCTGAACACGGACAATGAGTTTTCCTTCTCAGATGCTGTGGGATGCCATAAGCATGGTCATTAACACAGCACAGCCATGAAAAAAAATCTTTCTGGCTTTTCAGGGTAATAGCTGAAGTACCCTGGGAGGGTGGATTTTTTTTTCTGCATCCCACTTCACTTACCTAACAGAGCTTTACATCATTCATAAACTGAATATGAGAAGACACAAGCCCCAGTCTCCACAGGGCAGCAACACAACTTGTACATCAGGCCCCGGGAGCTGGGAGGCTTGTAGAGGAGCCGGGTGGCTTGTAGAGGAGCCGGGTGCGTGGCTCAAGAGAGCCTCCTCCATCCCTCCTCCCCGCACGGCTGGGCTGGAGCTGAGGGATGGGCACATGGTTGAACATGACCAAAACACTGCAGCTTGACAAACTGCCACTCCTTGTCCCTTCAATCAAAATGGATAGGCTTTTAGCTGCAACATTGAAAAAGTTAGTTGAAACTCTAGTGAAATCACGCCCAAATACTAATATGCTGATGGTTGCGGTGAAGGTCCCTTAGGAAGGTCCCTTAGGGCAAGCTACACCTGCCCCAACCTCCCATCCCCATGCTGCTCCTTCAGTAGCAATATTTACAGGGCTAAAAGGTGAACTGGATTTGAGAACTGATAGAGGTTAAAGATCTCTGTAATTGGTAGTCTTATATTGGATTAGTTCCTTAGCTGGTCCAATGTTACATTAGGACAGTTGCATTGGTAAGACTGTGGGGATAGTACGGGGGCACAAGTGGTTTAAACAAGCTAAAATTGCTCCTGTTCCTATACAGGAACACACTTATAGAAATATGTGTGTTTGGTTTCTTATTTCTTCATCACTCTCTCCTTCCAAGACAGACAAAACCAAAGCACCAAACATGCTCAACTGTGTCTCAGCCAAGACGTGTTCATTCTCCAACCTCTACCTGCTCAGACCACTCGTGTGAATCCCTGAAGTGTCCTAATAAGCACCAAGAAATTTTCAATTCTGAGAGGTTTCCCCAGTTGAATTTAAAAGACAGTAGGCTGTGTACCTTAAACTGGTACCCTGTCTCTGAAAAAAGACTAACTCTGCAGGTTAATGGCATTCTCAATACAGTTGCATTAATTTTTTTAAAGTTTGCATCATCCACAAGTAAATCTGTATTATTCACATTTAACATGCTGCAGTGTTGTCTCTCCCCTCCAGTAAAATAACAGCAGAAACTGAAAAGAAAGCAACTTTCTCCAGGGATGGAGACGCTCCCCGGAGGCTGCATCCCCCTCACCTCACTCGAGCGATCCCAGTTCTCCCCTTCCCAGACATTCTCACATCGGTCATGGATTATTCATTTACTTACAGCAGAGGAGAGAGAACACAACGTCCTGAAACGACTGCTTGGGAGACACCACTGCTGTTAGTTTTTCATCAATACCTTTTTATTCTCAGTGAAGATCTTCTTGGAAATGTTTTACATGTCGCAGCTATTTTGTTTCCTCCACTTTAGTCACTTCCAGTTGAGCAGAGGAATATGAATGTACTCGCTCTACCTCCGCTCATTAGCTCTCAGTACATTCTAATCAGCAGGTTCCCTTTCAAACTCTTGGGTTTTGTTTATATTTTACTAACCCATTTGTCCTTACAACAATTCAATTTGAAAGAAAATCTACTGCACAGCACTAAATAAGACAGCAATCTTGAGCCAAGCACAAAGGCTAAAATAGCCATCCGGATGATTCGGTTACTGCCTCCCAGAAAAACGTGGTGATCTGCCACAATTTTGGCCGGAGAGAAATCATTAACACAGCACTGGTCTGACCTGGCGACCTGAGGCTTCGTTTCAGCATACACGGGCAACTGCATAATTAGAAACTAAAGTACACGAATTTCATAAATCAACATCCCTGTTATCTGCACAATTATAGCCCCCACTTACTTTTTAGGACTGT